GTTGTCGAAGGAGGGGCTGCGTGTAAAATTTTTAAAAAGCAGATATTTGGCGAGTATGCATTTACAGAATAGAATATAATTCGTATAGCCACAACGTAAATTATATTTTCGTATATAGATGGATGTTTTTGATAAGAATTGAACAGGCGAAAAGATCAAAAAGTAATCGTCGTTGTTTCTTTTCATTATTGATTCACAGATGTCGTAACGGTTGTGGAAATTTTCTACATTTTTCTAAATTAACCTAAATTAAACGTATGGCATCTTGAATGAGTTAAAGATGTAAGAGAAGATTACTTCTTCTTATCTCGTTGTTTTGTGGTCACGCGATGGATGGACTCGATCGATAAGATTAGAATTCGCGTGACCGAGCCAACTAATCTCATCTCATCGGCAACTTATTACGAATTATACATTCCCGTATATAGCCGACCTGTGGCCAGTATAAGCTAATAGTGAATTACAGAACGAAATTTCACCGGGATGTTTATTATTATCTCGAACAAAATAAATAATTTCCATCCCTAGATATCATAGATATCTAACGCCGTGGTTTCCTTTCTTTCTCCTCCCTTTCTTCTTTCTCTTCTCTCCTCTCCGGCAAATAAAACAGAAACGGCGATCGCAAAATTCGAGAAATGACGCGACCCTTGACAATTTCATTAAGATCGCCGCGCATCCTTTTCCAGCGGGGCTCTCGTTAACGCCATCTCTCGAAATTGCTAGTCGCAATTGGGGTGGGGGGGGAGGCGAGGCACGCTCGAGTAATTGCATCGTCGCCGGCATTGCGACAGACGTTCCGGTTCACTCTTTGAGCATCCCGAAGTTAGATGGGTCGTTAGTCGAAAGTAGAGTAACCGGAAGTTAGCTGACCCGGCAAGACAGCGATGCGGCTCAAACTTCCACTTCAGACAACACACCCTTTCTTTATTCCGCCGAAGAAACTTTCCTCCTCTCCCGTTTAACGCATCGTCGGATAACGGGGATCGTTCAAAGAGAGAGATGTATATTCTTGATCTCGGGAAATCTTTCGATCCCTGCTAATAACAACACCGATATCGACACCGATTATTCCATCCAACTTATTCAGGGAATGTTTTTGAATCAATGTCGAGAATCGTGGAGTGGATCGTCGTTTTCCAAGGAATGGAGGAATGAGGTTTCCTCGGATGAGGATATCTCGGGCAAGTTTTGCTAAATAGGCGTAAAACGCGAACCGGGAACAAGGTAAATAATTCATCAGGTATAAATGAGACGGTTTGCATAAAGAGAGTCATGATGCGTATTTAGCTCGGGTTCGAGAAACGCCCTCTTTCGTGCACGAAACGTCGCGCACGAAATTAAATTTTTGATTCGTACAAAGAGCGAATAAACGCGAGAAAGGAAGGAAGGAAGGAAGGAAGGAAGGAAGGAAGGATGGATGGGAACAACGAATAACGTGTATCCGAATATTTCGCCGAGTCCATTGAACACGGATGGACTGTTTTACGGAGAGCAAGGAGAGAGTAGTTATGGAAAGTGGCGAGCGAGCTTCAGGCGGGTAGAAACTTTTCTATTTAGTTCGAAAACTCTCCGCCAGAGGACGCTCCTTCCGGTTTCGTAGCTCCTTTGCATTTAATGAGGATTCGCTGAATATTCAGAAACACCGCGACGCGCGCTTTTATACACAAGTCCGGGTTTCCTTTTGTCGTGAAAAAAGAAAAATAGGAGCGAAAAAGGTTGGGGGAAAAAAATTGGGTCGTCCCATCAATTTCTTAATTACCGTCTCTTCTAGCATTCTCTTTCTTCTCCTCTCCTTTTTTTTTCTTTTTTGTTTCCTCTCTATGCTATTATCCCTCCGACGACAGAAATAGAAATAGAAAAAAAAAGGAAAAAAAAGAGCGGAATATTAAATCCTGATGAGTCGGTCTCAACCGGACGATAAACGAGCTTAATTCCACGGCGCGAATGTCCTTTGTCCCCCCCCCCTTCCCTTCCCTTCCCTTCCCTTCCCTTCCCTCCCCACTCTCCTACTCGTGAGTCCCCTTCTTCTGTCGGAGCAAAAGATAAACGCGACAGAAGCGCCACCTAAGCTTATACATACCGTTTGCTTTCCAGTCTTACGCTCGGAGCGGAAATATTCGTCCCTGGCGTAACGGGGAACACGTTCCGAAAGTTGGACGGATCGTCCAGACATAGGGTTGGAATAAGCCGGAAGTTGTAGGTTGCAGGGCTGGGGCGCGATAGGAGAAGTTACGTAGCAGCAGGGAGAAGTAACTTCGTCCTGGCCTGGCCACCACCTCGTTTAACACACACACTCTGTGCGCGCGCGCGCGCGCGCTGATGTAAGTATAATTAGTTTCGTCCAATCCCCCCCCCTTCTTTGAGACCTGTCTCAACCTAAATATCTCAACTCGGTTTCTCCCCTTCATCTTTACTTCCTCCTCCGTTTCCTTCACATTCCCATTTTTGAACTTTTCCATCTGATAAGGGAAATTATTCGAATTATTATGTGCGCATCCCACTCAGTGACGATGATGGGCCATTAACTTCGTTTCACTGAAACAAGCGTGTGAAAAATTGGAAAAGTAGTTATTCCTATTAATAAACGCTCGAATTCGATTTCGTTTACGGCGAGGAGAATCTCCCAAGAAGAGAGGCAACGTATTGAAACGCTTGAGAATAATCAAGCTTCGGATCTTGAACACGTTTAGCGTTGCAATCGGTAAGTAGTGTTGGTCAACGTTTCGCCAACCAGTGTGCATATGTTCGTATTATCGGTCAATTATTAACAACAATAAAAAGCTGGTGTATACGATATACGTGTATATCGATGATAGATCTATTAATTAAATCATATCGTGAAGCGATGTAATTAAATAACGCGATATATATATATATATATATATATATATATGGAATGCACTTGATTTTACGCGGACGCAATAATAACACAGCAAGGACGATAATTGGCACATGATTCTCGTTTACAATCTGCCCTGTGGTAACGCAACGGCCGACAACGTGAGTTCAAAATGCACGTTTACAATGTGGCTAATTACATATTGCATTACCAATTATATTCCTACTCGATCAATTATTGAAAGTCAATTTTTAATCGTTCCCCGGATTTGATATGAAATGAATTTTATATCGTTGGAAAGAAATCGTTTAAACGGTTGTTTAATTGGACACCGATCGATGAACGGAGATGGATAAATATTACGGGGCGATGAAACAATATTGAAGCTTTAACGGAAATGGTGGTAACTATTGCGGTTACGAAAATGATCAAACTATGGAAAGCCGACGAATTTCAATAAATTCTATTTACAACGATGCGCGAATGAAAATCCGACGGTTATTGTTTTGATTATAAACCGATTAAAACCGGGCGTCTATCCCCGTGTGATAGAATTAATTAATTATCCTCTAAAATAAAGTTATAGAGCAGTGAATTAATTTCATTCTCCTGTTTTCAATCGTATAAATCGAACACTCGATATGTATATATATATATCTGTTATTTTCTACAATAACAATAGCCAATCGAGAGGAGGTTACCGATAGAAAATCTATTTGGAAACAGATTTTATAGATTTATTTTTCCGAAGCAAAAAAAAAAAAAAAAAAGAAAAAAGAAAAAGAAGAAAAAGAGAAAAACGATGTTTTTATCCCATCATTTTTATTTTTCGTGTCAACGCGAGATCGAAGCGTTATGTCATTCAAACGAGATTATAGAGAATCTGTCAAGAAAACTTGAATCGATCCTCTGAGAATAGAGCGTGGTAACCGTGTTCCAGCTTATATATAACGAATAAATTTTCAATTATATTTCAATTTAAGGAGAGAAGAAAATAAAGGAAGAAATTTTCTTCGATTTTTTTCGAATCTTTAACTCTCTTCCCTCTCTCTCTCTCTCTCTCTGATATAAAGTTTCTGTTCCCTTCTTGTATGTCCGATCTCTTATCTTTTTCTTGTCCACGAAGAAATAATAAATCAATGTTATTGCCTTTGTCGTGCGCGAAATATATCACGTTGGGAAGCGAGTCGTTTGCTTCTTTTATTTTCTTGTAGCGTATGAGCTGCCTGTCTGTCTTGTTCATACTCGTTCATCAATCCATTTTTCCCTCCCATCTTTCTCACTCTGCCATTTTGAATGTAGCGACCGTCCTCATCGTTTCGATATTAGTTCAGATTTCTTGCCTCGAATACTACGTCGTGTCTACGTCGTAATTTATTAGGTCAAACGTACGATGTAAAGTATTACATCAAATTCATTTATTTTTATTTGTTATTGTTTTTACGTCTAATTGTTTGATTCGAAAGAAAAAAATTTGAAAGAAAAATGATCAAAAGCAAACACATAGATAATCTAGCGAATTAGAGAAAAATTTGTTATTCGTATAACAAACACAGGGGAGGGGGGAGGGAGAAACTACGTGAAAAAAGGATCGATTTATACGTACGTATTTATATTTATATGTTCTGCTATTGAATCAATTTTTTATTCGAATAACAGTTTATTTCATATCGAGATACAATTTTATTTCACGTTAACCATTTTACAAGTTAATAGGAATTTACTTGCATTTGACGGGAAATGGCTATCTCATAAATAAAGAATAAAATTTCATTCGAACATTTGAAACACGTATACTAATGCAAATTTAAATCATGCTTATTCGAACAATTTTCATCTAACGTAAGCAGATTAACCTCTGAAAACGTGCATTCCTCGATCGAGATTGTGAGTTGGTATTAATGTAACGTTATATAAACTTTTCTCTTCCTGTGTTTTCGAAACGTTGGTTCGTGGAAAAATTACACTCGATATTCGCAAACGCGAACGCGTTTTGCAGCGAAATTTTCCTTAATTTAATATCCGGTTAATAATTCGATTTCGAAACACAAAGCGGTATATATTAATCCTTTATTTGTTAATCAATTTGTAATTGTCTTTAATTAACCTCCTAATTTTAAAAGTTTATATTTTATGATGAAAATAGCGCCATCGATTGTTGAGAGCTGTAAGCAGTGACGCGATAGACCGTGCCAGTAGTTTCAGTAGAGAAAACACATAGTTGGTCGGACGAGGAAGAACTTATGCTCGTCGCGGGGCAAAGGAGGAAGCTGGAGAGGGAATTGCGATTGGTCGGAGTGGGGATCAGGTGGTGGGAGCACGCGACGCTACGGAGACCTGTCAGTACACGCTCGACCATCAAGCCTGTGAGTTCGCGCGACGTTTTTCTTCCGTTATCACTGTTCGTAATATTTCGTATTGTTCACGTGTGCGCGTGTATATTTTCTTGTTTCTGACATTTTTCTTCCGAGTGGCGATGAAGTGATCCACTTTCAACGTGCTACGAGCTGTATTCTTCTGTAAAGAAGCATGGATCGACGCGGTATCTTCTCCATTTCGATCTTTTGCTTGCTGATCGCTCTTACTGTCGCCACCGGTAAGTTACATTTTTATATTATATCGTTTCTTACGTATTCCTTATTTTTATGCGCATATCGCGTAAAATTATCAAATTATTTAAAGTTTTTAAAGTAGTAGCAACAAAATAAATACACGATCGTTTTCGCGCAAAGAAGAATCAAGGCTCGTTATAGAAGTAAATATTTTGAGGTTAGTTGGGTGGAAAATTAATTTGCGCGAAATAACGCGTCGTTTTTTGTAATCGTAACAATGGAAGATGCTTCGTATTTCATCGATAGAAATTTTGTTTGCGTTTCTAAGCATTGTGTTTGAAAATCTCGCTTTCGGAATATCGACCACGGATTTTAATGGCACAATTGTAAATTATTGCTTTTGCGCAAGCAAACATAATTCGTATTAACAATGATTTGTTTTAGTAGTTCAAACGAAACTCTTTTGAAACTTGCTCACTTAATACTATAACGTATTCGAATAACATTTTGTTCTCGTTAATTGTTCGCTGCGCAATTGCGTCGTTACAGTAAGAATATTTACGAGGGTGGTTGTATTTAACTGAAACAGTTATGTGTTTGCTGACTGAATACGGTATAGAAATACGGCCGAGTCTCGAAGGATAAACGTGACCTTGCGTCATATTGTACATAAGTCGGCTAACATAATGGAAATGCTCACTTTCAGAAGAAAATAAATAGAATGAAATATAATAACGATAATACGCTAACACGTAATATTTTAGAATGAATGAAACGTAAAATGTAGTATTCACGTTTTCGACGACTAAATGAAATCTTTGACAGGTATATTTATAACAATATTCAATTTTAAAATTACTTTCTATACATGATTCTGGCGTCGGTATATATCAATTATAAAATATATAAAATCGCGTGACAAGTAAATTTGCTAAAAATTTACATTTTAAAATTGAAAATTCTAGAAAAAAATATTTCATTATCAAAATTATTCGTACCGTCCGTTAATACGCGTTACAATACGCGTTTTAATTGCTTCGAAATTATCGATGCACTCGTTTTTTTTACGCGAAATCATTACATTTTTCAAACTGATCCGTATTAAGCGCACGATCGAGTATTCCCAGTTTGACCCATTAACTCGTAATACATGCGTACACTTCCATTTCCGCTCGGTCTCTTTCATTGTCGACTCGCGAGACGTAATTCGCTCGACGAAGAAGAGGCGAGCGGAGGCATACCAGACCGAGTCCTCTCCTCGCAACTTGGCCACAATCCCGCGGGAAAACTCGTGGTGCACGTGCACCCTTGACTCTCCTTCAACTCTTGCGTACACGCCGGATTTAACGAACCGACGCTGTTCAACCCTTACGTTCCAGATAATTATCGAGTCGTGGGGACAGGGACGGGGGAGGGGAGGGGGGGGGGAGGGGAAAGTCTCGTAGTCGACACGTCTCGGGAAACCACTTCCGCCTTCGCCTTCTCCTCTAATTTTTATTTAACCTTCGCCTCTTTCGTGTTCGCCGATCGAGTGAATAAACGCGATTTTTAATTCGCGAATTAATTAATTTTTTTTTAAACACGATCGCGAAAACGTTTCAACGTTGAGACATTTTCAAGTTGTCCGCGCGAAACAGATTGGTAGGAAGGGGGAGAACGAGTGTACGCATTTTCGCCAAGTATTTAGACATCGTCAGAGTCTTCGTGAACAACAGGCCTCATTATCAGTCTCTCAAGTTGCCAGGCAAGGAGGGTCCTTCGTTAACCTCGGAAAGTAGCAGCGCGAAAGAGGGTTAGGATTTTCTTTATCGTCACGCGACCCGAAAATGCATCTTGCTTGTCCTCCCCCGACGAGAGGAATAAATTTACATTTTTCTTAGCTTCTCCCGTACTCTCCTGTATTCTTCCACGCTACACCCTCAGGTTTGAAGAAGGATTAGAAGCGTCTCCAAGAAGGGAACGGAAGAGTTCCATTTCGCATAAATCTTTCGAGGAGACAGACTTATATGGACGAGATTAGCAAATTCGGTCAATTAAATTCGTATTTATTCAACTCGCGTCGAGTCGCATCGTTGTAAATATCGCGAACGAAGCTCGGAAAGGCGGATCACGAGTTGCTGCAAGTTTTACTCGACAAGTTTGGCCAAGTTTGCCAATGAATTCTACGAGTTCTCTTGGTAGATATCCGGCTTGGAAACGGCTGAAATTTTTATATTTGCCAAGCAGCTCATAATTAAGGCAGATGTATCCACTCCTTGGGGCGGAGTTTGTCTCGATGTTTGACTTGGAAAATGGATTTCAAATGGGGGTGGTTTCCTTCCTTCCAGTTGGAGCAAGTTGAGATCGTTCGATCGAAGAGTTTACTTGTTGAATGCCTCGTCTCGGTTTGGCGAACAATGAGGCGTGGCGGAAAACGATCTCTTTTTTCTTTTTTTCCCCATCATCGATCAAAAGTGCAAAAAGTGATAATCCTCGAGAATCGAGGATCTCGAGGTCTTAAGAGATTCTTAGCCGTTTTTCCAGGATCCAGATAACACGGAAGCGAAAATAGTCGAAGAGAGTTTTTTTTTAAAAAGGATTTCGTTTAAAAGTGATTCCAAGAAAATAAATAGCCGGGGAGAAGAGTGTCATTTGGTGTTCTTCAGACACACTTCTCTCTCTCTCTCTCTCTCTCAAATTTGAAACTTAGGAAACAAAGAAAAACGTCGAGTAATCGAATCTGCTTGAACTCTTTATTCACTTATTATATAGAAAGTCAAAATTAACAAGTCGAATACTGGAAGATCGATCCGGCGATCGATTTCGAACACTGTTGGCGATTTTAAGAAGACTGGAGGAGCCTTTTAACTAGCGTTTTGCTAGCGTTTCAAGGAATCTTTGCACGGTGCTTGATCTGGTTTGCACGACAAGCGAATTTCCCCCTCGGAAGAATCGAAGATATCGATTAATCCTTTGCGCTCGAGGCCGGTTTCGTAGCGGTTTTTGGTGAATCTCTTACTAATTTCTAACTTAAAATGATTAAACACGTTTTAATGTATCTTTACGAAGATAATTTCTTAAGTAATTTCTTAAGTCTTCGTAATTTTGCTTTGTACGATATTTCATGCAACAATTGCCGGGATGCATTTTCACAATATGTCGTTTGACGTTATGCAGCTCTCCATTTAGGCGGATGTTTTCGGAGGACGAGAATTGCCGAACTAAGTGATTAAGCGGTTGATTTTATATAAAGTATATATGAATCTATCGAGCAAGTTTCAAAGTGAGGTGAGCGAGAGTCTCCGCAGAGGGTTAAGATTCTCCTATTAAGCCGGATATTGCTTTCCATCGCTCTCGCACGGACGAATCATTTCCTTTCTCTCTCGATACGACTTTTCTCGAGAAAAAGAGTGACACGCGTTTTCCGCGCGTCGATTAAAATTCGGCGGAAAGCCCGTCCGTTTTTCGTT